TAGTTGTTTAACCAAACAGCTTTCAGCTTTTCTACAGCTCACAGCCCACAACAGCTTTCCCACTGCTCACAGCCCATAACAATTTTTTCCCACAGCCACAGCTCAACCAAACACACCTTAGTAACTAACGGTGACTAAAGTTTAGTCACTTTGAGGTAAACCAAACAGGCCCTAAGTTGCTAGATTTTGTAACATTCAGGGAAGCTCACTAGAAAACCTTGTTCTCGAGTCTTGAATCGACTACTATTTGGTGTATCCAACCTGCTAAGTATTACCGGTGCTCAAGCAAGCAACGAGAGGAAAAGCCATGATCACACTATAACCTTGACTTTTTTTTTTGTTTAACTCAGGAGATTTCTATTCTACTCCTATATGTTGCTAATTTTTTTTCCGGATATTGGCCCGTTCGTTTCGCTGAAAAAACAAGCCGAAACACTGTTCTAGCTGATTTGTTGTAAGAGAAAAATATTGTTTCAGCTAAAAAGAACTGAAAATGACAGATTATAAGAGAAACGAACAGAGCGATTATTGGAAAATTTGGGGACGTGGCACTTGAGCGCTTGGTTTGAAAATTGAAATTCTTGCCCTACGTGAAACGGAAGGAACTAATGGTCTGTTTAGATTTCAAAAAAATTTGCGCAGTACCCGTCACATCGAATCTTGCGGCACATGCATGGAGTACTAAATGTAGATGAAAAAAAAACTAATTGCACAGTTGGTGAAAAATCGCGAGACGAAACTTTTGAACCTAATTAGTCCATAATTAGACATTAATTAACAAATACAAACGAAATGCTACAGTGAGCCAAAATCCAAAAAAAATTTGATCTAAACGGGCCTAACCAGATAAAGTGAATCATGATTGGGTTTGCATCGCTTGCCAAAGAATTAGAACAAGAATGATGTTACCGACAAGCCGTCTTTTTAATTCCTCTCTTAGCTTAGCTGTCCTGTAAGCTTAGGGACAACATAATAGCTATATATGTGTATGCAGTATGCTATGATTCTCTAGAGTTCTCTGCCTTAACGTTGAATCCAGGTGGTGACGTGTTCGCCTCGTGAAGATGACTGATATTGCCCGACCTTGATGGCATCGTCATGGACCATTTAAGGTGCAATGTGGAAGCTATGTGAGTTAAGAAAGCATAACCTTAGACTACCACAGTGTGTTGTTTTGCCGATGCTTAAAACCTCTTTTTTCGTTTGAGCCTCGATGCAACACACACTGCAGGATGGAATTGAAGCATCGGAAAATCACAGCATGTTCGCTTGAGCTACTTTTTAGTCATGAAACAATGTTTTTCTCTCATAATGTTTCAGTATAAGTATCAGCATAAGTTAAATTTCAGCATAAGTGATGCCTGTCTCAGGAGAAAAAACGTGGCCCCACTTGTAGGTGACCCGAGGAGATGAGACTTGCTACTAGATGAGTGAATTAATTGTTTCTGACATAAATGTTATGATGCGATGCTTGCCACCGCAGCTCTTTATGAAAATGGAGCACCGGTGTTGACTAAAATATTTGAGCATCCGCATACTGTGGCTAGTCTTAGCTAGTATGGAGTATCTCCCCAGCCCCCGATTTGGAACGGAAGAAAGTAACCAAATGAAGTGAAACATGATTGGGTCTGCTTGCTTAGTTAGAACAAGAATAATGTTGCCGACTTGCTGTCCATTCCTCTGAGCTTAGCTGTCGTTTAAGCATAGACACAACGTAAGAGACAACCGATGCCATTTTCTTCTTCTCTCCAGTTCTCCCTCTGAATTCGGGAGGTGACGTGGCCGCCACGTGGGGATGGTTGATGATACTTGACTGACAGTGATGGCATCATCAATTCATCATCAACCCAAACGAGGTAGGCTATCTCCAACAGAGCCGACCCAAATTTCACCGTTTGGATCACGGCACAGTAAATAAGTGAGCTATCCAAATTCTTCCGTTTCCAACAGCGAACGCAAAATATCTTCGGTCCTCTCTCTCCCACGCGGCTGCCTTGCTCTCTTCCTCTCTCTCCCACGCGGCCGTGCAGGGCATGGCGACGGTGACGACGGCGCGCTCTGGCGCTGGCGCGGCACCCGGATCCGGCCCCCCTCCCTCTCCTTCTTCTTCCCCGAGCCCGGCGGAGCTCGCGCCCGCGTCCGGCCCCCTCCCTCTCCTTCTCCTTCTTCGCGCCCGGCTGAGCTCGCCCCCGCGGCCCGGCCGAGCTCGCGCCCGGATCTCGCCCCCCTCCCTCTCCTTCTTCTTCCCCGAGCCCGGCGGAGCTCGCGCCCGCGTCCGGCCCCCCTCCCTCTCCTTCTCTTTCTTCGCGCCCGCGGCTCGGCGGAGCTCGTGCCCGCGCCCTGCCCCGACGGCTCCTACGGGCCCACCATTTGCGTCGTCTCTCTTCGAAACGCAGATTTGACTTCCGAATCGCAGAGGACCCAGAATGGGCATCTGGTTTCGGTTCTCCGTTGGAGGATGGTTTTGGTATAAAAACACTGTGCAGAACGTATTTTTGCGTTTAGGTCATGCCGTTGGAGAACGTCTAAATGTGACTATGCGAGTCGCTCTCCACGTCATCTCTGGATTTTTCCAACAAGAGCGAGCATAAACCCCGCTTCTTTGTCTCCAATCTCCGGTGCTCGCATCCCGCTCCGCCTCCACGTGCCGCGGCAGTTCCACGACGCTAGCTTGTCCATTCCTCGGTCCGAACCCAACCCCCTAGCGCCTAACCACAGCCCCAACCTCGTCGCTGCAAGCACCGTGTCCCCGGGCGGCTGGAACCCGCAGGCTCAGGTCCGCCGCAGGTGCGGTTGGTGCCGCTCGAGGCTCGCTGTTTGCCGGATTCGTGCCGGCCTTTGACGACATTGTGCCCTCCGCGGCGGGCGGCGGCGAGAGGGGCGTGCGCGTTGCTGCGGTGGGGGAGGGGGACGGCGGCCGCGGCCCGCGGCTCGGGCTGGTGGCGCGTGGGCTTTGCGGTTGCGTGCTCGACCCTGCTTTTGACCGTTGCTTACTACTGTATCTACAGCCTACAGGTCTACTGAATTCCACTCTTCTGCCGTTGTATGCTTTGTGCTGTTGGTGAGCAGAGGAAGACGGATTCACAGAGCACGGTGGTCTCCAAAGTCCGGCAGGTAAGAACCCTCAGCTGTCGCCTTATTGGCACCTTCGTTCAGAGTGGTAACGAAAATTGACACTTCAGGTTCCACTAACTAATATACTTAGCACAAATGTTCCAGCTGGTTCTTGTTTTCAGAGGAACACGAGTTCACTCAACATAGCTACTAGTATACAAACAAGCCTGACCATTATTGGAACAATTTATCTGATATAAAAGATGCTTGTAGGTGGCAGTTACAGACCCAAAGATATGCATATTTGGTTCTCTAATGGCTCTAGTCTTTGTGGAAGTATGGTTAAACAAGGTTTGGATTTGTTTGAGTTCAGGGCGAGGGGGGTGAATGGCAAGTTCTTATCTCAGCTGGTTTACCCAAATGTGCTCAAGGTCGCCAAGCCAAAATTTTGCTTCTACTAGATTCCTTGTAGGAAGCCATTGCTTGATCCTTCTAGACTCAACCAAGGTTTATGCTAGAAGCACATTGGATGTTCTGGTGGTTCTGTGAGCATGCAAATTGGATGTTCTGGTTCCTTTTCTGTTATGATCTGTTTAAGTTCATTCAAATAGATATAAAGTTGTAAAGTGATCAAAAGATGCCATCTTATTGGCATAGCACTTTGACTTCTTATGTGAATCTTTTAATCATGCCTATTTATCAGAGACTTGTGACCGAATATATGTCGGCTGAGTCTATCATGAATCATGGTACCAAATCTATGCAGAGGTTAATTGTTAAGAAATCAGTTGATCATGAGTAGCTAATCTTTGATAAACCGCAGCCTAGATGTAGCATTTCATTGTGTGAGAACAAAGATGAAAATATTCTCAGATTTGTGTTTTTTATTGACTTTTGATTGCTACCATATAAGAATACTTTTTATGAAAATTCAGGTCCTGGTAAAATCAATTGGAGTTGCTACTGTATCAGTACAATTTTTTATGAAAATTCAGGTAAGGATAAAATTGATTGGAGTTAATATATGCTTGCCCCTAGAGACTCCCACTATGTAGGAAATTGAAACTAATGGCCTAAAAAAGGGTTGTTGCATTCATAATCGGCCAATCGGGATTTATCAGATCGTTTATGTTTACGGTATTCTATATTCACCACTCTGTAGGAGTTCGACTTGGTAACTATGACCTTGAATTACACCTACAAGCTCTAACTTCTGTCTGCAACCACCTAGACTTATTCAGTTTCGTTGTAGATCTTTTGATGAAATAGGTCATAAATCCACCATATCATCTTTGAAAGTGTTAGATGTAATAAAGTTGAATTCCATTATAATTGGATTACATATTTTAAGGTCTTCCTTGGGTTAAAAAAGGTACATAAGAGTAAGGTCTGAGTAAACAATTCAGGATCTCATGCAAATATTTTGATTTGATGAGTATGGGTTGCCTTCTGAAGGGCGGGCCTGGTGCAAGCGGTAGAGTCTTACCGCCTGTGACCGGAAGGTCCCGGGTTCTAGTCGTGGTCTCCTCGCATTGCACAGGCGAGGGTAAGGCTTGCCATTGACACCCTTCCCCAGACCCCGCACAGAGCGGGAGTTCTCTGCACTGGGTACGCCCCCCCCCCTCTTTTTTTTTAGTATGGGTTGCCTTCTCATAACAACTTCGTTGAACATACTTCATTAGCAGGCTACTCAGAACTCTTCCAAATTTACTCCCAGTTGCCAATTGCCTACTGAATTGCTGTTTGGTAGTGAGTGTCTAATGCCTTCTACATTAGAGAAACTGCAGTACTAAATCATGTAACTATAACTCTTGTTTCCCAAATGGCCAAATAGAGCCCCTGCCTGTTCTTCTGTCCTTCACTGCGTCCTTATGCAAACTTTCCATCACAGCAGTGAAACACTACTCTCTCACATTCTCTGTGCTACCTGTCACAGGGTGTGTTGTATGGCTTCCACGCTCCAGCTGCTGTTTTCCATTGCCATCACAGCTTTCGCTTTTTTCCTCCACCCATGTGCATCCACTGAGTTCCGCCGTGAGCTCTATGGTTGGTCCAATGGCATTGCTACATGGTATGGCGCAGCTGATGGTGCCGGAACTGACGGTAAGAGATTACATACATAACATAAAAGTCAATGCACCATAGTCACCACTTAATTACCATGTATTTGCTCCACCAAACTGGTGCACCTTGTAAAGTAATTTGCATGAAATATGTTGTAGGTGGCGCGTGTGGATACCAGAATGCTGTGGACCAGCCACCCTTCTCATCCATGATTGCCGCTGGCTGCTCTTCCATCTTCGATTCTGGCAAGGGCTGTGGCTCTTGCTATCAGGTGTGTATACCTCAGAGATTCAGGCATCATGCTCGTTCACGCCTGCCTTTTGACATTCGGAAGATTAATTACTCAACAGGTTGTATGCACTGGCAATGAGGCTTGCTCTGGTAACCCGGTGACTGTCGTCATCACCGACGAGTGCCCGGATTGCCCGTGTCCCGATGAGCAGGTCCATTTGGACATGAGCGGGACAGCGTTCGGTGCCTTGGCGAAGCCCGGGCAGGAGAGCCAGCTGCGTGGCGCCGGCGCCATCCAAATCCAGTATACCCGGTATGTCATGTGCACATGAATGTATGCTTCTTCGGAAGAGATTTTCTACCAATGCTCCGTAACTGCCATGTGCTTTTCAGTTGTATATATAAACGCAAACGCCATGCGATTGTGCAGGGTGCCGTGCGAGTGGCCTGGCGTGGACGTAACCTTCTCGGTGGAGTCGGGCTCCAACCCGAACTACCTGGCCGTGCTGATCGAGTACGAGGACAGCGACAGCGACCTCTACTCCGTGGACATCATGCAGCAGGGCGGGACGGGGACGGGGCAGTGGGTGCCGATGCAGCAATCGTGGGGCGCCGTGTGGAAGATCAACTCCGGCTCCGTCCTCCAGGGCCCCTTCAACATCCGCCTCACCTTCAGCTCTGGCAGGGTGCTCGTCGCCAGCAACGCCATACCTGCGGGGTGGAACGCCGGCGTCGCGTACCGGTCCGGCGGCGTGGCTGTGACGAGGGCCAGGCCCAGGAGCGATGGCTGCCGGCGCTACGAGGCTGCCGGGACACTGCACCTTTTAGTGTTGTCAGTGGTATTATTGATGCTGTGAGCTGAGATGCGATGCAATTTTGGTGGCTGTGTGAGCGTGCAAATTAGGACTACCTGGATTGAGTAGTTCTCTGTATTTTTCTTGTAGTTGTAGCGTGGAGGTCGGATTAATGCCTCGTATTGTGGACATTTATGCTAGTCAGCTAATTTCTGTCCATGCCTAAACTTAAGTCGCTGTCACAGTCACATTAGATGTTTGACACATATATAGAGTATTAAATATAGACTAATTATAAAACTAATTACACAGCTTATGACTAATTTACGAGATAAATCTTTTAAACCTAATTATTTCATGATTTGACAATGTAGTGCTACAGTAAACATGTGCTAAAGACGGATTAATTAGACTTAATAAATTTGTCTCGTGGAGTACCGATAGATTCTATAATTTATTTCTTTATTAGTTTGTGAACACCACGGCACCGTCACCGGATCAACACCTCTTACACAAGGAAGGTGGGCGTGCTTCGCCACGACTGCACATTCTGACGTGTTTGCTGCGAGCGGCAGGGCGTGGTGTGCCGACCTCGAGGCAGGGCGAGGGGACGACTGCTGCGAGTAGAGTGATGCCTCCACGAGCACTTGTGTCAAGCTTCACACTGCCATGGATTTCAGACAACTTCAAATAAGCACTGTGCCATGTGGACACATTTACCCCGTTCGGCTGATCTTAAAAGCGGTACTATTCAACTTGTTTTTTCAGTCAAAACAATATTTTTTTTCTCACAACAATTCAATCAGAACAATGTTTTTCAGCCAATTTCAGCTAAACGATTGTATAACTTGGGATGCGGGGACCGCCATGGCTCCACAGTGAAAGAGGTCTAGGCCTTTCTCGAAACACATGATTTTTTTTTACAATCGTGCGTTTTTCATGTGAAACTGAATTGATCCTATAAATATTTTATATAATTTATATTTATACCTAATAATAAAGAGACAAAATTTCCTCATCTTTTCTGGTGCCATTATTTTGGTCCGGCCGTCTCTAACTAATCCGTGTAACCTTCCGACGCAGCGCAGCAGAGTTGTAACAGATATGAAAAACCAACAAAGAAAACAAAACAAACTGTATTAGGACTCCAACACCCGCCCACACCAAAACAAGCACGCATCTTGCACAGATCGGTCGCACCACATTCGGTTGACTAGTTCGTATCGTTGCTGATTTGTTTACGTGAGAGAAAAGTGTTACTGGCTGATTCATATAAACAGTATCCGTGTGAGGAGTTACGTGAGAGAAAAATGCTACTGACTGATTCATATAAACAGTATCCGTATGAGGGGGCTGGCCGGCCCAGCCAGCCAGCCAGCCCCAACCGATCACGCTGACGCTCTCCGGTAAAGAGAAAATGTTGCTAGCACGTGGACCGAATCGGTTTGCACTACCAAGGAACGTGCTCTGCCTTGCTCCCCAATTGCATTCGTTGTTAGCTTGATGATGTCAACATGACATCATGCCTACGCAATATACGGCCGTTTTTCTTTAAAAAAAATCCAAATAAACCATCTGAATACATATATACATATATACATGAGGACATCCTTAGCTGTCCATCACCAGATCTTGCGGTCGAAATTTAATCACTTAAAGCATAACAATGTAGCGGAAAGTAATGTGCATGTATTATTATTATTATTATTATGGTTACTACTACTACTATTGTTTAGAGAAGACTATTTCTTATACTCACTTCGCCTAAAATAAAATCAACTTTTAGAATTATCTTAAGTAAAACTATTTTAAATTTGACCATATTTTATAGAAAAAGTATAAATATTGTCACACAAAATTAACATTATTGCACCACGTAGCTACGGATAGGAAAGAAACACGTGCTCTGGATTTGAGCTGTAGTACTCAATGGTGGAAGGTGGGTTACGGAGGAAGATGAGGTGATCATTTAGGTTGAATAAGTCTATTGGCCTAGAGATACTGTTTTTTCCTCCCGTTGCAACGCACGGACATCTTTGTTGGTTCATATAAAATTCCTTACGTTTGAAATGGACCTTACGATTGTAGCATCCTATTTATTATTGGACTTTGGTATTGACATGTGGAGAAAAAAATGTGCAAGATCGCAGCCTTATAATTCCTCGTACAAGTGCATTTGACCAAAGTGCATTCTGTTTATGCTACTACCTGATTCCGACCATTTTGAACTTCAAACTTCAAAGTCCAATCGAAAAAAAAAAAGTTTGAAACCTATGGACCGGGTTGGCCCACCAAATCGATCCTTCTATCTCCCTATAGTCTATAGACCCGGTCCACAGCCCATCTCTGCCCGCCTCTTCCCTCCTCTCCTCTCCCGGTCCGCCCCGACCGCCCCTCCCGCCTCGTTCTCTCCGCCGCCGCCGCCGCCTCCATTCCTCCACCAGTCCACCATCGCCACCTACGCCCAACCAATGAACCAAACCCAACTCCACCTCTTCTACCTATAAACGCAACCCACCACCGCTGCCGCGGCCTCTGCGCTCCGAAGATCCCCCAAACCCGATCCTCCCGATGGCCACCGCATTCTCGTTGCGCGCTGCGGCCCCGGCCTCCGATCCACCTCGGGTACGTTTCTTTCTATCTGCGTACCATATATGCTCGGATTTCCTAGCTCCCTGGAAGTTTGTGTTTACCTGCTTCGTGTGTTCCCTCTGCTGCAGCGGCGAGGGTCGTATCCGTGGCGCCGGCGGCGCCGGCCGGACGCGGAAGGCTAGTGGCGCGTGCAGCGGTTGCAGTTGCGTGACATTGCTATTTTGAGTCTGTTTGCTGTTTTGCTTTGGTTGCAGCACGCGTTGCCATTTGCTGCTGGTATGCTGAACTATTTTCTCCTTGTGTGTGTTCTCTTGCGCAGGCAAAGGCGGATGCGCCATCGAGCGCCGTGGTCGGCAAGTCCGACGGGTAAGAACGTTTTACCCCTTGTCTATGGCATCCTAAACTCCAACAAGATCAAGTCATTTATGTGGCAGTTAGTTGTTTTCATTTGGTGTTCTATGCGATGTGTGCATATTGAAACCTGAAAGCAGTCATACTCTTACTCTGTAGTTGCATCACCAGTTTCACCATGTGACAGAGCCATTGATTTGTACATGGACTATTTGATTGGGTAGCTACCATGGTTCTCAACTTGTTGCATCTGAAAATTGCCTCACTATTTGAGTGACATGAGGCAGGGACATACGCTTGAGAGGCTCCACTTTTTATATCTCACATTATCATATGTTTGATGATTTTTTGTTAAAGAAAAATGAGCAGCCGTAATCTGTCTGTTCTGTCTTTCAATCACTAGTGCACCCACATGTCCCAACCAGAAAAGGCAAATATATAAGTGGACTAAGCAGCAAAATGTGATTCTGAGCATGGATTTCTAATTCGGCTACAATAATAAATGAATAATACTCACGGGTTGTAGATATCTCTAGGTTATGTAACTATATGTTGTAAGCTTTTATTATGGTACATGAGGTTGTCACCATGAATTGATTGCAAGATGAAATTTGGCACCGAACTTGCTGTGTCGGCTAGTATGTTTTGAACATGTTATCAACCTGAAGTAATTACAGTAGCCTGGAAAATGAGTATTTCAACCTTGTGCCTTTGCTTGCTTAATCTACTTGGTAAATAAAACTGGAGACCTAATATTCTGTTTTTATTGTAGTTGGTACTTGGCAGACTGGATGGGGTACCTGTTTTCATCATTTATTATCCAAGAAGTAAAATCATTGATAAAAATAACAGATCTTAAGAGATTTATATTATGACGCTGGGGTAAACTAGACTTAACACTGCCTCCCATTCAGAAAGATTATTGGGATTTGGGTGTTGACTCACAGTAACTGCAATTTGTTCATTGCATGAAACTGATTAGTAACCTGTTCTCAGATATATGAATTACAAATCGCAGGCCATGTCAGCTTTCAGGGTTAGCAATGTTAGAAACCATAATAGCCTTTGGCTAACCATTCCTCTGTTCCTCTTTTATTGTCTATATTTTTTTACTGGAAGTATGTAAGGACTGGCGATTTGAATAATATTTGGCTATCCTTGATTTCTTTAGTAATGTGATTTCTTTTGTGTCTGTCTGCAAATTCCTAACTTTACTTAATTTCCTTTCAGTCATGAGGTCTTGCTGTTTGAAGCTCTTCGTGAGGCCTTGATAGAAGAGATGAAATTAGATCCAACAGTGTGCGTGTTTGGTGAAGATGTTGGTCATTATGGTGGTTCTTACAAGGTGACAAAAGGTTTGGCTGATATGTTTGGAGACCTTCGAGTTCTGGATATATTGCTGAGAACTCATTTACTGGCGTGGGAGTTGGAGCGGGAATGAAAGGGCTGAGGCCTGTTGCTGAAGGCATGAACATGGGATTCCTCCTCCTTGCTTACAACCAGATCTCAAACAACTGTGGCATGCTTCATTACACTTCTGGTGGCCAGTTTAAAATCCCAGTTGTGATCCGTGGCCCTGGTGGTGTCGGTCGTCAACTTGGTGCAGAGCACTCACAACGTCTGGAATCGTATTTCCAGTCGATCCCAGGCCTGCAGATGGTTGCCTGCTCAACTCCTTACAACGCTAAAGGCCTAATGAAAGCTGCCATCAGGAGTGAGAACCCTGTGGTGCTGTTTGAGCACGCCCTTCTGTACAACTTGAAGGAGAAATTTCCGGATGAGGAATATGTGCTCTGCTTGGAGGAGGCCGAGATGGTGCGGCCTGGGGAGCATGTGACCATACTCACATACTCACGTATGAGGTACCACGTGATGCAGGCAGCAAAGACTGGTGAACAAAGGGTACGATCCCGAGGTCATCGACATCAGGTTGTTGAAGCCGTTTGATCTGCACACTATTGGCAACTCCATCAAGAAGACCCACCGCGTGCTGATCGTGGAGGAGTGCATTCGCACGGGTGGGATCGGCGCCAGCCTGAGGTCGGCCATCATCGACAACTTCTGGGACTACCTTGACACCCCCATCATGTGCTTGTCATCTCAGGACGTGCCTACACCGTATGCTGCAACTTTGGAGGATGCAACCGTTGTGCAGCCTGCCCAGATCGTGGCTGCGGTCGAGCAAATATGTCAATAGATTGTCCCCTGGCACATTTGAGAGATCGTTGTTGCCATGAAAAAAACTTTCCGTTTGTTAGTTTTGCGCTGTAACTTGCATTCGTTGGGGGGTCAGCTATGTACAATTCAGCTATGTAGCTGCACGGAGTCGATCTTGTTCCTTTATCTGCGCTATACAATGCTGAATTTGATGGTTTGAACATTTCATTGTTGACGGAAAGAATCATTGTACTAACAGGGCTGGAGTTATATGATTATTGTTGATTTATAGTTGTCCCAGAAAAAAACATTGTATCGAGAATTTGACCACAGCTACTCCATAGCAAGATCAGTGTGGATCCTTGGAGGGTAAGATGCCATGAACCAGTTAGTCTCCAGTCCAGGAATGCTTCACATACTGCACTGGTCAGTGAAAGACCCAGAGAAATTCTCCGAATGACACAGCCCATTTATCTGAACATTGGTCGGTAAATTGGCAACTGATGCTTGTATAAACGGCCAAACATGGGCACTACAGTACAAATTAGCGTTCAACATTGAGGTGTATAAGACCATATCAAAATGTTCACGATACAACCTTCTCTGTGGTTGGAGGTGACGTTCCATTGAAATAACTTGAGCCCAGGAGCAAGTTATACAGGTGATCGCAAAACAGGACGAACCATCTTTTGGTAAAAAGGCAACAAGGGCAGACAAAAAACCTCAGGCCAACAGTGCAATCATTATCATGTTGCACTCAGGCAAAAGTCACCAAAAATGCTACCATACGGCAGTAGGGCAGTGAGTCATATCCACAGTTGCTCCTTGCGGTACTCTCTCACAATGACCGGTACACTAGTGGGCGGAAGCTGCAACAGGAAACAACACAATCAATATTTGACCAAATGGCCCACATGTTACCTATAAATCCTAAACAAAATTGGAATGAACTGGGCATCCATGGACCATGTATAACTGCAGAAGCCAACGAGTTCAGGATAGTATAGAGGCAAATATCAGTGAGAGATGTATAAATATCAGCAGCCTATGTATACAGAACAAAAAAAGTAGGCATCCATGGACCATGCGCACCATTATGTACAAATATCAGATTTTTATAAATTATACAAAAACACAAGTATAGAGGCAAAGAAATACATAGCCCTTGTTTAGTTGTAGGAATTTGGATTTTGGGGCTACTGTAGCACGTTCGTTTTTATTTGACAAATAGTGTTCAAACATGGACTAATTAGGCTCAAAACGTTCGTCTCGTAATTTCCCACCAAACTGTGCAATTAGTTTATCTTTTCGTCTACATTTAATGCTCCATGCACGGGCCGCAAACATTCGATGTGACAGGTACTGTAGCAACTTTTTTGAAGTTGGGGTGGAACTAAACACGCCGATAATGGTGCGTCACTGTTAGTGTGTGAGGCAAAAGGTTCCCGAACAGCAGGAAGTACAAATGTACAGGGGACATCATATGTGTAATTGCTTGGAGTTTAGAGTGGCATGGCCTACCCAACTCAGCAGATTAGTTTGGTGCAACAGAACACAACCAGTTAACCTAGTTCAAAGGTCAAGCATTACTTGGTTCATAAATAAGTTTCCAGCTGCTTCTACAGAACTGTGCAAGTGCCGTGAGTAATAAATATTCAAAGAGAAAACACTATGTTGAAGATGTTGGATACATTATGGTTAATCTGAATGTAGCCTATGTATACAGAACAAGATGCCTAATAAAAACAGTTCAAGCAGATTAAACTATGTTTACATGGTTGAATAGATTCACTGATAAAAAGGACACATGTTCTATTGTTAACAACTGACTGCAGTAACTAGATGCATTATGTTAAAAAAGAGAACATTTGCACCGATATTCAAAAAATAATAACCTAGAAGATTGATTATAGTGAGATGCATATCTTACCATTCCATAGTCTGTTATGATCATCGACACATAGTCAGGCGGGGTGGCATCATACCTATTAGATGTGCAACATTATTTACACTGAGGGGAATAGTATCAGAAGGAATTGCTGGTTTATAGAATTCAGAAACATACGTTAAATTTAGCAATTGGAGATTTGCATTATCTGCCCAGTTCTTAAGATGGTCCTCTGCCTTCCCAGGAATTTTCAAAATGACATCTGGATCGCCTGAGTAAGAAAACTCACGTCAAGTCATCAAGTAGTTCTCATGCATGAGGTGAACATATTCATAAACGACAAAATATCCATACCAAGCTCATTAGCACATATAGAATCAAGTTGCACTCTCTCATGAAACTTGTATGCCTCACAACAAACCAGAACTGGAACTCCAAATGCATGTGCAACCATAGCCACTGATGCCGTCCCAACTCGAGAATAAACTGTCCCATTTGATAATATTGATGAGGCACCCAACAAGACTCGAGTGACTTCATGCATGATGTATGAGATGGCATATATGTGTATATATGTGCAGGTGATGCCCTTTGCCACTAATCTCCGCAGCAATGCCTGTCCCTCAAGCTTTGGGCGAGAATCTACCACTACAACTCGAAAGTTCCTCCCAAGTTCATGAGCATAGTCCAAAATCATTTCAACAACTGATGATGATCCGTATGTCAGTAAGACATCATTGTCTCTGACCTTTGTGATGGCATGGCTGACAATAGCTTTATCTGCAAGAACTATCTTCTCATTTATAAAACGATCAATATCAGACTGAAGACTAGTTTTGGCTTCAGACTCTGACAATGCATGTGGTAGCTTTGCAATCCTGCTCTTCAGAAACCTAATAGCATTGCCCATGCTGATTGAAAGAGGCCTACACTCAATAAGAAATGACACATAACTGCTGATTTTTGCAGTCAGATCTCTGCTGAGAGTTTTGTTTGGAGGTGTAGTGTAATCTTTTATTGCCTCTCTGAATGCAAGAAGCATTGCTATGCAACGACCATTACCACCAGATACTTCACCAGATAAATATTGGAGCCCAACCTGAAATATAGTAAAAGTCCAGATGAGTCAATCAGATTTTACCAAAATGGACAATAATCAGTTTATTTAATTTTTATTAGCTATTTTCTTTGCTACTCAGAAGTCAGCACCACCAAACATCTAAGCAATCAACAACAACAACAATAACAATAACAATAACAACATAAATCTGGCTCGCAAACTAGTTTTGCCTGGGCCTAAATGGTATATTTTAACCAGCGTACAACTCAATAGTAAACAGGGATCACCATACACCATTAAACATTTACAGCACAATATATAGCTTAGATTAAAGTTCAGATGGTGACGTGCAGAAGTGATTTCAAGGAACAGATTTTCTAGAATTCAACAATGTGCAGAAGACAAACAGGGCTAGTCATCTGGGAAATGCAATTCTACTGTCATGGAAATCTGCTTTCCTAAGAGTTCCCAACAAAATTCATAATGAATCAAAAACAAAACATAAGCCTTAGTGGCTTAGCTCTTGTGCAACGGAGGCTTATCTTTAGTATTCTTCTTGTATATAGAGCTAGAGCACATACGAACGTATTATGCAAAGTCTTTGGCAGGTGTACATATTTAACATTATCTACATTTATGGATATTGGAAAGAGAAAAAGAAGGCTGAATTGTATACAAAAAACCAACTTAGGTGCAGATACATGACACATTTCAAGGACAAAACAAGTTGAGGGTGTCTTGAGTTTCGGCCCACGTCAAAATTCTTAGGACCAGGAGAGCAAGGTAATCCAGCATCCGGTGATTAGTAAGTCAGCAATGACTGTTTCATCATGATCAACTATCCTCGTATCTGTAGAAGTAACCCAACAGTTGCATGTTGCATAGCTTCCTACACCTTAGTCCTACTCCAAATGCATGAAGATTTTGCGTGGGTGAAGAATAGATCATTGACTAATCCTGCTTGAGATCGATAGTAGGAGTACATAAATGTCAGGGTAGGTTTAAAACACAACAGTTACCTTGTATACAGAAGGATGCATTGGTTCTAGTTGAAAGAATTTTGACTCGAGGTCAGGAAGCTGAGTGCCATGCACGTACTGAGGAAGATGCCTGAACAGTTCAACTCTGTTTCGAGCTTCCGATTGGTTGACTACTGCACGTTTTTTTGCTTTCTCCACCTTATGCACATCATCAAACTGCATGCGGGGATGAGGAGCATCTAACTTTCTTTCTCTTTCTGGAGGACGCTCAGTAGCCTTCTTCTCAGAAGCAACTGTACTTGCAGCTTGTGGCACATCTTTCTTCTGAGCAGTTTTTGCTGGCTTGGCTTGCTTGGACATCGCAGCACCAGCAGATTTTCCTGATTTATCTGTAAATGCAAAGTAATGTGAAAAATATGATTGGGTGCTATGCTTGCATTACACACGTGCAAGATCACCATAACAAAGTTGAGCATATTCATAGGCACATTTTCTACCACCAAACCCTAGGCTAACAAACAAAAAATAAACAGTCGGACATGCTGAGAGGCTTTGTGTGATTCAAGCAGCGCTCCACAAAACCCTATGTCAAGATAATTACCTGCCTCCTTCGCTGCAGCTTTAGCAGCACGTTGAGCCTCCTGAATTGCACGTCTCTCTGCCTTCGAGGTTTTCTGCTTTTGTGGAATAGATGCTGGAGCACCCTCATTCCGTACTTCAGCCAAACCATGCTTGTTTTCTTCTGAAACAAACTTATGTGCACGTATATAAATAAAATTGTCAAATAATTTTCTCAACAAATTTAATAGATATTAACCATTAAGCCAAAATTAATATACAAAAACCCAGCAAAACTACAACTTTCTGGTTTTCATTCATACATCCCCAAATAACCTTTATGCTAAAAAACAACAAAAATTCAGTTAAGTAGAATCCTATTATGTATCCAAGTCAGCTGAAACGTTGAGTCAGAAAATTTACTAAAAAAAACAATTTTCTTCACTTGCTCCCTCCTCACCACACTTGAGAGGCACAACCGACAGCAAGTTGCTGCTTCCCACAAGCCCTAGCACCTGGCAGTACGAAGATCCATGGAAAAAGTGGTAGAGAATAAAGGAGAAGCAGTTGCCCCTCATAGTGTCATCATTAAGGTTTCTTTTCATTTGGGTGAATATGTCATGTACCCAAAAACTTAAATGCTTTTGACCTTTTATTATCTTAAAGAAGTTAGAAGACCACTCATGACCAATCATAGCTAACAACCTTAATTGCGCTTCTAGCCGGACATTCTAACACCACTTGTGACCAATTCATCAAGAGAACACAAATCTACATAGAAGCAACACATTTCTGGGCCTCCACACTCAACGACCTTATAGTAATATCAAGGAGGTTTTTAAAGTCTAACGTCCTTTAAGGTCACAGTGGACGTGCTCTAATATACACTCTCCATGCACAACCTGCTCCAGGTAAACCATCAAAACAATGGTTATATTTGAGTTTGGCAACCGCACTGTGAGACCGTATGTGCCTATCTAAAAAACAGTCTGCCCCCACCATGGGCTGGATGTCTCCCTCAGCACGTCTGTTGTACAAATGTGTGCATGCAATTCCTAAGTCACCTTCTTAAGTTTAGTTTTACAAAAGCATTTCAGGTACTAACATTTCGCGAATAAGACTACATCTAGATGTCACAGATTAATTATGTGCATATTAAGAGTCCAGGCGGGTTTCAGAGAGAAGCAAGTTCACTTTGCTTAGCTTAAACTTTCCAGTATTGATTGCATGGCCACGAGCCTTCCTATTTTGAAGGTAAAAACTGAGAAGATCCTCTGGTTCGTTACCATGACAGCATAAACTGGTCTCGTTTCCCCCCAAAGCTATATGTGCAATGGCAATCTCATCATTTGATAGAGCGAGGCACAGAATTACCTAGCTCCACAGCAGAAGGCGCGCGTGACCAGGAGTCGTCGTCGCCGATCTCGGACGCGACGTCGAGGCGCGGAGACGAACGCACGGGCGCGGAAGTGGCGAGGACGACGTCGGCCGCCGCGGGGGAGGGTGGGCCCGGGGCGAGGTGGTCGGCGTGGCGCGGGGGAGGGATCATGACGGGGGAGAGGCGGCCCGTGGAGAGGTCGTCGGCCGCCGGCGGCGACCCCGCGGCGGGCCTCTGCTGCGCCGTTGGCGCCGGGACCGCGGCGGCGGCGGGGGGCAGGGGCTCGGACGGCGCGGAGGCCTCCGGGGTGAAGAAGCCGACCTGGCGGATCTTGGGCTCCACGCCGCCCGACGAGGAGCGCGGCGGCCGGCGGAGATCCATGGCCTGGCCGCGGACGGCACGGCGCCGAGGGTTTGGTTGGGGGTTTGGGGCGGCGCTCGACTCGAGACGAGGAGTGTGTGAGGCGCAGAGGGTGGGGGATCCTCGTGCGGGGTGCGGCTGAGCACGAGCGACGGTGGTGGTGGACCGGGTGCAGGCGGCGTGATGGGCTCTGACGTGCGCGAGAGCCTGGGTCATGGGCGTTGGTGGGCGTGGTCTGCGGACGTCTGTTTTTTCTCCCCCACGAGAAGAGGATGGAGGTGTTCGGGCCCGAAGGCTGGTGGGGTAATTGGGCCGAGTAGAGCTTTGCATCACATCGGGCCGCTTTTATGTGGACCAAAAACAAGCCTATGGCACTTGAACAATCTTACTGAGTAGGAAGAGCACGCTGCTAGCTCTTGTGCATTCTATCCACGATATTGTTCCTAGATGGCTAGACTAGAAATAAAAGGTACTTGTTGCTCAAAAAAAAGAAATAAAAGGTACTTATCTACTGTACTAGTCCATATATACTCTCTCCGTTCCAAATTATAAGTCGTTTATAATTTAGAACAGAAGGAGTACTAGCATGCAGCTTGTTTTCAATGTCGTCAAGTCGTCGAAACCTTAAACAACGGTTATGGGCGCTGGACATGGATGCATCATGCATGGGTGTTTGGCCTAGACAGGAGTAAATGTAGTGGCAGTTGATGGGCAGATCGATGTCCGTCCGTCTCGATCGGTCGGTCCCCAACAATGTCGTCCAAGCTAGCTAGGGCCGGCCTGCATCCATAAAGAGGGACCAGACAATACCAAGCCACAACAATACTTGAAAGTTCATGCACGCATTATCCGGCTCCACCCCGAGGAGAGAGAGCGATCCAGAGGCGTCGTACATACATACCTCACTGTCGTACGTACGCATCATCCACGTACATGTACATGGCGGGCGTCGTGATATGCATGCTTTATTGTTGTGGCTAGGCAGCCAGCTTCCATGCATCGGCCGTCCCATGCATGTGTGTTCGTGGACCATCGATCTGCACCATGCTGTTGCATGCTTTATTTGCAGCTGCGCTATGTATAGGTACTGCCGCCTTATGTCTCTGACCGAACTTCTGTCCACCGACCACTTGATGCGCATGTGAAGCTTTGTTCACTTCAGACTTGAGCCTATACAGTCCTACATATATATGTTGGTCCTCACACTACTATCGCGCACGGCGCACCGACCAAGCTTATGCAGGCGCAACGGACAAGGCGATCGAGCTGAGGTCGCGTCCCAGAAAAATTGAAAAACAAACTATCGACGCACCACCTTGCGTATGTGTTCGGGATTATTCAAATTCTATCAGAACGTACGGAGTTTTCAACTTCTCTGCTCCGATCAGTTAAACTTGATTACCAGTTTACGATAATATCGATCGCATTCATGGGTGGTACCGCGGTGGGTCTGTTGTCCATGTCCAGGACCCTTTGCATGCATCATCGCCTTTTGTAGTCTGCCCACTCGCGTGCATGGGCTTCCTAGCCACGACAGGGCCTCCTTGGCAGAGCTCATAGGGTAGCTTTCAGAATGAATCTAAGGGCATTTAGCAGAGGTCTTAGAACAACTCCTAGGATGAATCCAGGAGAAAATCTGCTAAACAGATTTTTATTGAAAAGTGGCACATAATCACTATACGCACAGAGTTTATCCTATAAAATCACTTTCAACCACGATATCACTTCTCTTAGAAATCACTTCCTACATAGAATCATAATCCTCCACCAAACAAGTCCTAAAAGAAGCTCCGCCGAAGCACAGCTGGTGGTTAGATTTCTTGTGATGGAATAATCTGTCCAACAGGATCAATTTAAGTCCTCAACTTGATGCGGGTACTCATATTTTTCTATATTTGTTTTTAGATTTTAATGCAATGCAATTCTTTCGATAAGCAATGTGTCCATCGATTGAGAGTAACAAAACATCCGTGGTGACTTCGCTAATTTCGACACCTACACCTGCAATCTTTCAGAGGCTATATTCATAGAGGTAATATATGTCATTTATGTATCGGAGCATCTATATTTGTAATGTGAATCACAAAAGGAAGGTATATACTCTGATTAGGAAAACAACAGGAAAGTGAATTCTCTAAAATGTACAGAGTACATACTTCTTTTTGTATTCTAAAATGAAATATGAAAGCTGGAAGCTTACTGATTTTATTTCTCCCCATATAATCACTTTATGTTAGAGTTTATATATCCTAAGCTAGCTAGAGAAACTTATAGAATCACTCATCCCAAAGAATCAATCAAACCAAAAGAGTTTTACCAAACAGCCCACATCAGTGTTAAGTAGGCCCTGTCCCCCGGCCGTCTAGGCATAGTACCCTCTTGGTGGAGAGCCGCGACAGAAGCTGGTACAAATTAAAGGCCGGCCGCGCGGCTGTCGCATGCATGCAAGCCATCACCACTTGCTGGCCGGTTTGTTGCATTAGTTTTCTTGGGTCCAAACTACTAGTACTGCAAGGCCACCATTGGCCATTGGCCATGCATATTGCACACAAGAGACAAGCCACAGGTACCGCGAGAGAAAAGGATGGCCTTAAAAGGAGTCGTCGTGTTCGTACCGGTTGATTGTACACGCAGATATATGAGTACCGAGCACACGTACAGCAACCCCTGTGAAAGGACGTTGTGATCAAACAATCGATCTTGGTTAGGATAATTAACCGAATTAATCAAAAAATTTACACCAACCACCACAGTTAGATTAATTAGATTTGTTACTAAAATATCGGTATTAAGCCTAAAACTCCCAGCGAATGGCCAGTGAGTTAAAAAACGAAAGAATGGGAACATTTTTCATATGCTCTCCTCTTATAGATAGGTCGAACAAAGAAGAAAGTTTTTCGATCACTTACTTCGCTCGTCCTTTTTTGATGGCATGCATGTATGTAAGACGAACGCAACAGGGTCCGTAAACTTTTGTGCCCTAGAGTACCTAGGTAGCTGTTGCACATATATAGTGTAGTGGTACATGAATCACAGCGGTACTACTAGTACCTTATTGCTTGTGCATATGATGCAGTGCAACAGGCCAACAGCCTTTGATATTTCTCTAGCTCCCCTTGTCGCTAGCGTACGTGTCGTGGCGCGTGGCCCCGTGCAGCTCAGCCAACTTGTTGCACTGGGCACACTGTACCATTAGTACGTGAGTGCTGCTGCGCGCCATGCACATCACTAGCTACGTACGTAATCGATCATCATCTGCGCATAGCGTAGTTGTACTCCATGAAGCTGATGGCACACAATAAGTGGCGGTACATCAACTTGCACGTACGCAGGCACGCAGCATGCTTGCAACTTGCCACGCCTTGCAGCGAGTAGCTGCTAGTGAGATCGATCGACAGCCGTGCCCTAGCTGCTCCCTGGGCCAACTACACATGCCTAGACATCAGACATACATGTGGATGCCCATACGCGGGCGCGCTCATTCGTTACTGGTCAAATCTATCGTCTTCCTGCACTAGCAGCTTAATGATGATCGAGCTAGCTAGCTGCTTGTACCCATCCAAGTTGATGAATAGTATTAGCATAGCATCATGTATAAATATATCTATATACTAGATGAGTCCCGTGCGTTGCAACAGGTGCAACATAAATTGAATGAGATGTTATTATTTGCGGTGATTATTTGCCTGCTGGTGATTCCGTGAGTTTTATTCCATTTTATTTACTTGCCTTCCAGTGTCTCCATGCGGTGATTATTTGCCTGCCGGCTATGGATCGCATGAGATGCGGTGATTATTTACCTGCCGGATATAGATCGCATGAGTGTTTTGGTCCTGCCGGGTAGATGTTGACAATACGAATGTTTTAGTTGTAGATATTATATATTGTCCCCTTCCGGCCTTCCTTTCGCCAAAAAAAACTATATTATATCCAGTTCTTCGAATGTCACTATCGATAATCCAAGGCATAAATATCGACCTGTTGTTCGATCGCGCTAAAAACAAAAACAGTAAGCATCAATGAGCATAACTCATGTGCGACTAGTGTGTGTGGTACTGAGACTGGTGACTATATATACTACGGAGCAGAGTAAATATACATATCACGGAGTTAAATATACCTTATATTAGCTGTGCACTTACGCATATATGGACAAGTAATATATAGGGCCGGCCCATTTGGTAGAACTCCCACCGGCTACAGCTTCTCTGACGCACGCGCTGCTTATAAGAGCTCTTGGTACCATACAAGCCCATCAGGTGAAGACACCGTCGGACACCACGGTCCACGGTTGCCATTTAAGCAAGCATGGCAGTATGGCGCACACAGGAAGCTGCTGCTTGCATGGCCGGGTTTGCAGTAGTGTCATCAAGAACACACAGTAGTATACAATAATTGAAGCATATATAGACCGGCCCGGCCGGTAGGTACTGGCGGCCGTTGGTAGTTATTTCTGGTGGGGAGGGTTAGTTAGGATCGATGATGCGTGGCTGTTTGGCCTGGCATCCATGCATCCATGGATCTATATATCCATGATTAGCTTCTGGGCCGGGTCTGTATGATGCGTAGGACCACATGCATCGTCTACATTGTTCTGCAGCATGCATGCATGCAAGCTATAATCACTCCTCTCATCGCGCCGATCCATATCCTAATCATGATGAATGTGGGCGAGGCACGGCACGTACCTAGGGATCACGCATGGTCCATGACAAGAACAAACCAAGCTAAGGGGCCGGGGGGGGGGTGGCAGGGTGCGTGGGCTGTTTTCACGTTCTGATGCATTGCAAACTTGGCAGCAGGGGATACATGTGACACTGACAGAGAAACGTGACCCTAGCTATAGCAAAGCACACATTAACGTGCAGTCGAACCGACTATGCATCTTATTAATATAGTATAGTATATATATGATATATGCGCAGTGCTTCATCATATTTTTGTTTCATAGCAAGAAAAAGAATAATAAAGGCCGGCCAGCCATGCAAACCGAGGAATCTTTGCATCCATGCATGTTGACTAATCAAGTACTAACCTACTAGCTAGGTAGCTAGGGGCTAGCTGTGTGTTACACGTTACGTGTTGACTGGCAATCATGACAACCCATTTGTTTAATCTGCGGCAGGGTCAGAGACGGTTGCAGTGTGACAAACTGCTAGCAATGGCCATGAGTGGTTAATGATGGGGCGATGATGGAAGTGAGTGCATTTGTTTGC